GACCAGCTGGTGTGTGTCAGTCTGGGGGATTGGCCTGTGGGCGTGGTCTCCATGTGTCTGGTCCCAGGTCCTGGGTGATTTGGGGCAGGTGGGGAGGCTGGGAATACGGGCTCAGGTTGGGTTGGTTTGCATCTGAAATTCTTTGCTGTCTCTGAGAATGGGCGGGTCCTGGGAGGCCCTGTGTCTCCTTGGCTTCCAATCTGCTTAATGGCTCAAAACATCCTAAGATACAGAAATAAACAATGATACACACCCACTGACGGCCCCCTTCTTTCTGCCTGTGCTCCTCCCACTTGACTTGTTCCCCTCCCCCTTCTTTCTCTCTCTCTGTTGGTTCTGCCCACTCATCACCCCACCCCTGATCCTTTCTCTCTATTCTCAGGCCCAGAGAGGGACTGAAGTTGGCACCTTATCCTCCCCTTGCCCAGGAGTTACCTGGTCACCACCTGAGCTTCTGGTCTCCCATCTGTAGGTGCTGATACACAGTAGAGTTAGGAGCCGCTCTCCTCTCCCTGTGCATAGACGCCAACCTCAGAATTATTGTCATAACACATCCCAGCATTTAATCATAAATGAAAACATTTATAAGGTGTCACATGACCATTGATTTTACTCTGCAGTGTCTGTGGGAGTTTCTTGAGTCCAATGACATCTCCATCTCCTCTTTCTGTTGTTGAAGCTGTTGCAAATAAGGGATGTTGTTTATTCCTTGTAATTATCCTTCAGTTGGTATTTATATCTCTTCTTATTTTTTAAAAATATTTTTATTGATTTCTGAGAGGAAGTTGGAGGGAGAGAGAGCGATAGAAATATCAATGATGAGAGAGAATCATTGATTGGATGCCCCCTCCATATTCTCTCCTGGGGATGAAGCCAGTACCCCAGGCAAGTAGCCTGACTGGGAATCTAACTGTAATCTCCTGGCTTACAGGTCGACACTCAACTCCTGAGCAACACTGCCAGGCTATATCTACTCATGAATAATAAAAAAATTCAACATTTAAGACACATCTCTCACCATTGGGCATTATTACGTTCATATATCTTACATCTATCAATTTGATAAACTTTAGAGAACATTAATAATTACTTAGATGTAAACAATTATTTTATTTCCAGTTTTATAGAGATATTTTTTAAACAGAATGCATGCCAGCGTAAGGTATGCAATGTGCATATTTGATACACTTATATAGTGAAGTGATTACCCCAATAAGGTTCATTAACACTTTCATCCTCTCATGTAATTACCATTGTTATGATTATACTATGAATGATGTATAACCATGACAACTTTCATGTATGTAATACAATCCTGTTCATTGTAGTCATCATGCTGTCCAAGACCTCCCCAGGAATTGTTCATCTTGTAGCTGAAAGTTTGTATCCTTGACCAACATCTCCCCATTTCCTCACCCCCAGCCCTGCATCTCCATTCTACTCTATTTCTGTGAGTTCAGCTTCTTCAGATCCCACCGTGAGAACAAACTGCAGATAAACAATGACTATTTTGAAAAAAAATTACCCTCAGAGTTATGTTTCTTTCATGCAGTTCTAGCTTTCCATCAGAGAATCACTTTCCTCTATGCAAAAATGGACTCAAAATGTATTAAAGACCTAAATATAATACCCACAAAAGTATAAAACTCTTAGAGGATAACATAGAGGGAAAGCCGTGACATTGGGTTTTACATCAAAAGCACAGACAAGGAAAGCAAACATAGACAAGTGGGACTGTACCAACTTCAAACCCTGAACACAAGAGGACACTCTCACCAGACTCCAGAGGCCACCTACAGGATGGGAGAGGAACTGTATCTGGTGAGGGGTTAATCTCCAGCATCTATTACAAACTCACACAAGACAACATAAGAAACCCAAATAACACAGTTGAAGGAAAGGCTAAAAGCTTGAATAGATATTTCTCCAAGGAAGATGTACAAATGGCCAACTACGTCATGAAGAGAGACGCAACATCAGTAAAACGAAAGAACTACAAATGAAAGCTCTTGCTGGTGGCTCAGTTGGTTAGTGTTTTCCTGATACACCCAGTTTGCCGGTTCCATCCTGGTCGGGGCACATACAACAATCAACCAAGGAAGGCATGAATCAAAAACTGTAATGAGAGGTCACCTCACACCCTGTAGGATGGCCACTAAGAAATGAAACCACAGAAAATAACAAGCGCTGGTGAGCAGGTGCCAAAATTGGAACCATTCAGCACATTGGGTGGGATTGTAAGAGGGTGTACCCACTGTGGAAAACAATATGGCAGTTCCTCTAAATATTAAATATAGAATTACCATATCATGGACCATCCTCTCTTGAGGTTATATGTCCAAAAGAACTGAAAACAGGACCTCAAAAAGATATCTGCACTCCCATATCTATAGCAGCATTATTCATATTACTCAAAATCTGTCAGCAACCCAAATATCCATTGGTGGATTAATGCATTAGAAAAGGCCATGGCCAGCTAGTGTGCCTCAGTGGTTGAGTGTCGACCTATGAACCATGAGATCACGGTTCCATTCCTGGTTGTGGGATCCATCCTGAGTGTCAGGCACGCAGAAGGTGGCCGACCAGTGATTCTCTCTCATCATTGATGTGTCCATTTCCCTGTCCTTCTCTTTTCCTCTCTGAAATCAATAACAATATATTTGAAATAAAAGGTTGTAAGTTTTAGACTGTTCTGGATGTTTTAACAAAAGACCGTAGACTGGTAGTTTATAAGTAGCAGGAATTTATTGCTCAAAGACCCGGATGCTGGAAGTCTCTCTCTCTCCCCCTTCACTCCCTCTCTTCCACTCTCTCTAAATTCAGTGAAAAAAGTATCTTTGGGTGAGGATTACAGAAACAAACAAACAAACAAAATAAAAAAGAGAGAGACATTACAAACTCATACAAGACAACATAACACACCCAAATAACACAATTGAAGAATGGGCTAAACCTTGACCAGACATTTCTCCAAAGATGATGTACAAATGGCCAACAAAGTGATGAAGAGAGACGGAACATCAGTAATCCTACAGAACCATGAAAGAACTCCTTAGGCCTGTAGGGGTTTTGCTTGGGCATCAGTGCATTAATATTCAAAACCCCAAATCAGATTCCTACACGGACAAGGAAGGTATGGGGAAGGAGCATAGTAGGCCCGCAGTACAGAAAGTGATGGGGGAAGTGTAGTGATAAACAGCTCCAAAGGTCACATACCCCAAACTAGCATTAGAAATTTTATGTCATGTGAGTCTCACCTCCACAAAAGTTTCATCATTAGTTTATTTGGAAATCTCTCTCTCTCTCTCTCTCTCTCTCTCTCTCTCTCTCTCTCTCTCTCTCACACACACACACAGACACAGAGTTCTCTCTCTGGGATGAATTCTGTGGCCCCTCTTGAATGTGAAAATGGTTGCTTTCTTCCCCCAGTTCTTTCGTGTGGGTTGCTTTAGGATGGGCCTTGTGCTCTGAGGTGAGTCAGCCTGGCCCCTTCTCTGTCCCTGAGGCCCATCTTGCCTGGCACAGGATATGGGGAAATTTCCTCTTCTGCATTTCTGTGTATACCCTGTGGCTTGGAGGGAGAGAGAGAAAGGGAGAGAGAAACATAAACCGGTTGCTTCCCATACTTGCCCTGAGCTGGTATGGAAACCTAGGGATGTGTCCTGACCCGGAATTGAACTTGCCACCAATGTGCTGTAGGGAGGATGCTTCCACCAACAGAGCCATCCGGCCAGGGCTATCTATTTACACCTGTAATGTCCTTCCAAACAGATGTACCATTTCCTCCACTGAGGAAGTGCATAGTATATATTTGTGATGTGCATCTCTGAATGTTCCAGGAACATCGTCAGTTTTGATGTGTCCATGACATCTTTTATACCATCCTGTTTTTTGTTGGTCACTGTGCTATATGGATGCATTTGAATTTTGCAATGTGATTTTGTCTCTAGAAACCTTGCTGACTCTCTTCTCAAGCCCCTACATGTATCTGTATGTACTTGTAGATTTTTCTATGAAGACACAATCCTTGATGAAGAAAGTCAGCTTGGTTTTCTTTTGAATTTCCATAGCTTTTACTTATTGCTCTTGCCTTGCTGGACTCGGACCCGGTGCTGCTACGTTAGGTGTGGAGCTTGCTGAGCTCACCTCCTATTCTGCCAGGGGAGCCTCCTGCATCCCTGCTGACTGTGATGTTATCCTGAAGGCCTTTGACATCCCCCCTCGCTCACTGGTTCCTCCCTTGAGATCCCATCAGTCAAGGGCAGCGAGGCACACAGAAGCCCCACTATGTGCTCCAGCAGTGGGAGTGGAATGTCAGGGTTTGTGATGCCCGGGCTGGGACACAGATGGAGCAGAAAGGGATCCCTTCCCATCAGCCTGGGTGGGGCTCTGAGAAGGGACCCAGCGATGAGGGGCCAGGAAGGTGATTTTCATGAACTTTCAGGCCACAGCGCTGCTGCTGTGCTGAGGTCCCGCCAAATGGGGCGTCCGTTTCTGATGGGGCTTGTGGGCCCTCGCTGTCCCTCAGACACTCAGACCCTCGAGCCAACACAGGTGCGTCCCACGTCCCCAGGAAGCCCTCAGAGCGAAGGCCTTTACCACTCAGCTTTGCCCCTGGGTTCAACCACCCTCCACTGAATTGGGTCTAAAATCCTCTCTCTTTTGCCAGCACTTGGTCTAAAAAACTATTAAAGTGATCATTTTCAAGAATGTTCAACAGTTCCAGCTTGACGATAGCCGCCCACCCCCTCCCGAGTCTCCAGGACCAGGTCTGAGTGTGCTGGCCGCTGGCCGACCTCCCTCCCTACTTACACATCCTCTGGAAGTGGGTCACTTTCAGATTCACATCTGGACACGCCTCAGGGGCCTCAGTACATTTACCTGCAGGGTCAGGTGGGGGAGGGGAGACAGAAAGATTTCTAGGCCACCACCTCACCCCCCAACCCCTGTGCAGACCAAGTTCCCCTTCCAGCCTGGCCAGAGTCTCTCCTCCAGGACTTCCTGTTGGGGTGTCCTAGGCCCCACCCCAGAGCTGGGCACTTCCCTCCCTGACACAGGGACCTGGATCCGCTCTGCCCTGCCAGAGGCAGACATGGTGCCCCTGCTGCTGCTGCCCCTGCTGTGGGGGGGTGAGTGACTGAGGGAGGGGGGTCGGCCGGTGGGGGAGGGGCAGGAGCTGCATCTGAGTTTCTGTGTCCCCCTCCCCCAGGGTCCCTGCAGCAGCCGCCAGGCTATGAGCTCCGAGTGCAGGAATCGGTGACGGTGCAGGAGGGTCTGTGTGTCCATGTGCCCTGCTCCTTCTACCCGTGGAGTTTGGGGTCTTCCTCTACCAAAGTCTACACCTACTGGTACCGGTACAAGGACAACATAAACCATCCTGTGGCCTCGAGCAGCCCAGATAAAGAAGTGAAGAGTGAGACCAAAGGCCGCTTCCTCATCGCGGACCCGACAACCAACAACTGTTCCCTGCAAATCAGAGACGCCAGGAGGAGTGACTCAGGACGCTACTACTTCCGAGTGGAGAGAGGAAATTCTGTGAGATATAGTTACTTACATAAGATGCTGGATTTGCAGGTGACAGGTAAGGCAGGGGCCCTGGAGAGGACCCAGGGACATGGGACCCCGTCTTAGAGGAGCAACTGGACACTGGACACTCCCTGTCCAGGCCGTGGGCCCTGTGGTGGGAAGAGACACAGGGCCTGGGTGAGCTCAGCCCGAGGCAGGGCCTCTCTCAGGGTCCCGCTCTGAGTCCCCACCCCTGGAGCCCAGGCACCTGCCTTTCTCCCCTGCAGCCCTGACAGAGAGACCCCACATCCATGTACGGGAGCCTCTGGAGTCTGGCTGCCCCACACAGCTGGCCTGCAGCCTGCCAGGGGCCTGTGAAGGGGGACGACCTCTCACCTTCTCCTGGGCGGGAGCCGCTGTGGACTCGCTGGACCCCCAGACCCTCCCCTCCTCGGTGCTCACCTTCACCCCGAGGCCCCAGGACCATGACACCAACCTCACCTGTCAGGTTCAAGTCCAAGGATCTTTGTTGGCCACGCAGAGAACCATTTGGCTCAATGTGTCCTGTGAGTGTTGGAGGGGTGGGTGAGTCCATGCGGGCAAGGGAGTGGCGTGTGTGTGTGTGTGTGTGTGTGTGTGTGTGTGTGCTGGAGGCTGAGCTATTCTGAGAACACTCATCATGGATCTGCATGTAGGTGGGGAGGGGCCAGAAGGACAGCTCTCCCACCTTCCTGGTTCCCACTGGTGCTCCTTGGGATTGGGGTGACTTCCATCTGAAGTGGGGCCCTATCTTTCTATCCCAGATGCCCCACGTGGGGGCTGGAGGTGGAGGGGAGTTCACCTGCTGGGCTCCCAGCTCCTCTCCTTCAGCCTCTCTGTGCAGAGTGAGGTGCAGGATGGTGTGGGGGGCCGCCTGGTCAGGTGTTGGGCTGTGGGTGGACTGACACCTGGACAACACGTCACCCTTCTCCCGTCATCCCCAGACAGCCAGCCCTTCAGCAGATGTGTGACTGAGGAGCAGCAGGGCTCCTGGCCCCTGGTCCTCACCCTGATCAGAGGGGCCCTCATGGGGGCTGGCTTCCTCCTCACCTACGTCCTCACCTGGCTCTACTACACCAGGTGAGCAGGCCTGTCTCTCCCGGGGAAGGTCAGGGATTGGCCCTGAGGTGCAGGTGGGGCCGAGCTGTTCGGCTCTGCCTGGAGTTAGAGCGAAAGTGGCGGAGTCTCTGAGCTGACACCTGTGTGGGCCCCGCAGGTGTGGAGGCCCCCGGAACAGGAGGCAGAGCTCCTGATGGATCCTCCCTTCCTCTCAAGATGTTACTGAGGTGTGGACACCAGGCTAGAGGGACCGTCCTGGGACGTCAATGTCACCATCTCCCTGGAAGCTCTTGACTCACCTGCCTCCAATGTGCCAGTGGGGTTTCAGTGTGTGGAAGTGACTGAGTGACCACAAGGGGAGTCAGTGCCATGGAGAGAAGACTTTTCCTCCTTTCACCTCCTGAGAGGAGGGCCCGCTGTGCCCGGGAAGCCCCGGATTTCCTCAGGAAGCAGATGCAGGTGCAGAGCAGCCTAGCGAAGGCCTTGATTGGGTTTCCCATGGGAAACACAAGGCAGGGCAGGGTGAGCAGTTCAGGACCAGCTGGTGTGTGTCAGTCTGGGGGATGGGCCTGTGGGCGTGGTCTCCATGTGTCTGGTCCCAGGTGCTGGGTGATTGGGGGCAGGTGGGGAGGCTGGGAATATGGGCTCAGGTTGGGTTGGTTTGCATCTGAAATTCTTTGCTGTCTCTGAGAATGGGCGGGCCCTGGGAGGCCCTGTGTCTCCTTGGCTTCCAATCTGCTTAATGGCTCAAAACATCCTGAGATACAGAAATAAACAATAATACACACCCACTGACGGCCCCCTTGTTTCTGCCTGTGCTTCTCCCATTTGACTTGTTCCCCTCCCGCCTCTTTCTCTCTCTCTGTTGGTTCTGCCCACTCATCCCCCACCCCCTGCTCCTCTGTCTCCATTCTCAGGCCCAGAGACAGACTGAAGTTGGCACCTTATCCTCCCCTTGCCCAGGAGTTACCTGGTCACCACCTGAGCTTCTGGTCTCCCATCTGTAGGTGCTGATACACAGTAGAGTTAGGAGCAGCTCTCCTCTCCCTGTGCATAGACGCCAACCTCAGAATTACTGTTATAACACATCCCAGCATTTAATCATAAATGAGATCATTTCCGTGATATCACATTACCATTGATTTTACTATTTAGTGTCGGTTGGAGTTTCTTGAGTCCAGTTATATCTGGATCTTCTCTTTTTGTTGTTGCTGCTGTTAGACCTGTTTCAAGTAAGGGATTTTGTTTATTCCTTGTACTTATTCTTAAATTGGTATTTATCTCTTCTTATTTTTTTTTAAATATTTGTATTGATTTCTGAGAGGAAGTTGGAAGGAGATAGAGCGATAGAAATATCAATTTTGCGAGAGTCATTCATGGCCTGTTTCTTCTACGTTCTCAAATGGGATGAAGCCTGTCACTCAGGCATGTGCCCTGACCAGGAGTCAAACCCTGACCTCTTGGTTCATAGATTAATGTTCAATCCCTTAGCCATACCGGCTGGACTATATCTATTATTGAATAATAACAAATTTCAACATTTAAGACACATCCACCTATACTCTTTCCATTTTGTATTGTTATTGCATATAGCTTACAGCTATAAATTTGATAAACTTCAGAGAACATTAATAATTACTTGGATGTAAACAATTATTTTATTTCCAGATTAACTGAGATATTTTTGATATAGAATGGATGGCAGTTTAAGGTATGCAATGTGCATATTTGATGCACCTACATAGTGAAGTGATTACCACAATAAGGGTCATCAACACTTCCATCCTCTCATGTAATTACCATTTTTATGGTTATAACACTGATGATGTATAACCATAAAAACTTTCAGGAATATAATACAATCCTGTTAATTGTAGTCATCATGCTGTCCAGTACATCCCCAGGAATTATTCATCTTGTAGCTGAAAGTTTGTATCCTAGACCAACATTTCCCCATTTCCTCACCTCTAGCTCAGCATCACCGTTCTACTCTCTTTCTGTAAGTCCAACTTCTTTAGATTCCACTGTGAGAACACACTGCAGGTAAACAATGACTATTTTGAAAAATAACCCTCACAGTTATGCTTCCCTCATTCAGTTCTAGGTTTCCATCACATAATCACTTTCCTCTATGAAAAATGAACTAAAAATGTATTAAAGACCTAAATATAATACCCATAATTTAGAACTCTTCGAGGAAAACATAGGGGGAAAACCTAGGACATTGGGTTTTGCAATGATTTCCTGCGTATTTACACCAAAAGCACAGACAAGGGAAGCAAACATAGACAAGTGGGACTGTACCAACTTCAAAACCTGAGCACAAAAGGACACTCTCACCAGACTCCAGAGGCCACCTACAGGATGGGAGAGGAACTGTATCTGTTAAGGAGTTAATATCCAGCATGTATTACAAACTCACACAAGACAACATAAGAAACCCAAATAACACAATTGAAGAAATGGCTAAAACCTTGACTAGATGATGTACAAATGGCCAACAAAGTCATGAAGGGAGACTCCACATCAGTAATCCTACAGAACTTCACATGAAAGCCCTGCCTGTGTGGCTCAGTTGGTTAGTGTCTTTCTGATACACCCAGTTTTCCATGTCCATCCTGGTTGGGGCACATACAACAATCAACCAATGAATCAAAACTATAATGAGAGATCACCTCACACCCTGTAGGATGGCCACTAAGGAATGAAAGCACAGAAAATAACAAGTGCTGGTGAGCATGTCCCAAAATGGGAACCATTCCACATACTTGGTGGGATTGTAAGAGGGTGTGCCGGCTATGGAAACAATATGGCAGTTCCTCCAAAAATTAAAGATAGAATTACCGTATTATGTAACAACCCCTCTTGAGGTTACATGCCCAAAAACACTGAAAGCAGGACCTCAAAATGATATCTACATTCCCATATTTATAGCAGCATTATTCATATTACTCAACATCTGTCAGCAACCCAAATATCCATTGGTGGATAAATACACTAGAAAAGGTCATGGCCAGCTGGCATGCCTCAGTGGTTGAGTGTCAACCTATGAACCATGAGAGCACAGTGCCATTCCTGGCTGCAGGATCCATCCCAAGAATGAGGTCCGCAGGAGGAGGCCGATCAATGATTCTCTCTCATCATTGATGTTTCCATCTCTCTCTCCTTCTCCCTTCCTCTGAAATCTATAAAATATATTTTTGAAATAAAAGGTCGTATGTCTTAGACTTTTTCAGATATTTTAACAAAAGACCATAAACTGGTGGTTTATAAATAGCACGGATTTATTGCTCAAAGACCTGGAAGTTGGAAGTCTCTCGCTCCCGCTCCCTCCCTCTCTATCACTCTCTCTAAATTCAATGAAAAAAATATTTTTGGGTGAGGATTAAGGAAACAAACAAACAAACAAACAAACAAACAGACAAACAGAAAAGATAAAAGAAAAGAGAGAGACATTACAAATTCATACAAGACAACATAAAAACCCAAATAACACAATTGAAGAATGAGCTAAACCTTGACTAGACATTTCTCCAAAGATGATGTACAAATGGCCAACGAAGTCATTAAAACAGACTCCACATCAGCAATCCTACAGAACCATGAAAGATCTCCTTAGGCCTGTGGGGGTTTTGCTTGGTGCATCAGGGCATTAATATTCAAAACCACAGATTAGATTCCTACTGACAAGGAAGGTATGGGGAAGGAGCATAGTAGGCCCGAGTACAGAGAGTGATGGGGGAAGTGTAGTGATAAGCAGCTCCAAAGGTCACACACCCAAAACTAGCATTAGAAATTTTATGTCATGTGAGTCTTACCTCCACAAAACTTTCGTCATTAGTTTATTTGGAAATCACACACACACACACACACACACACACACACACACACACACACACACACTCCTCTCTCTGGGATGAATTCTGTGGCCCCTCTTGAATGTGAAATGGTTGCTTCCTTCCCTCAGTCCTTCGTGTGGGTTGCTTTAGGATGGACCTTGTGCTCTGAGGTGAGTCAGCCGGGCCCCTTCTCTGCCCCTGAGGCCCATCTTGCTGGCACAGGTTATGGGGAAATTTCCTCTTCTGCATTTCTGTCTATACTTTGTGGCTTGGAGAGAGAGAGAGAGAGAGAGAGAGAGAGAGAGAGAGATATCAATGTGAGAGAGAAACAGAAATAGTTTGCCTCCCATACTTGCCCTGAGCTGGTATGGAAACTGAGGTATGTGCCCTGAACCGGAATTGACTCTGCAACCTATGTGCTGTAGGGAGGATGCTTCCACCAACTGAGCCATCCAGCCAGGGCTATCTATTTACACCTGTAATGTCCTCCCAAACAGATGTACCGTTTCCTCCCCCGAGGAATTACATAGTATATTTTTGTGATGTGCATCTCTGAATATTCCAGGAATGATAAAAGTTTTGATGTGTCCATACCATCTTTTATACCATCCTGTTTTTCATTGGTCACTGTTCTACACGATGCATTTGAGTTTTGCAATTTGAGTTTCTCTCTAGAAACCATGCCAACTCTCTTCTCAAGCCCCTACATGTATCTGTATGTACGTGTGGATTTTCCTATATAGACACAATCCTTGATGGATAAACTCAGCTTGATTTTCTTTGGAATTTCCATAGCTTTTACTTATTGCTCTTGCCTTGTTGGACTCGGACCCGGTGCTGCTGCGTTAGGTGTGGAGCTTGCTGAGCTCACCCTCTATCCCGCCAGGGGAGCCTCCTGCATCCCTAGCTGACTGTGATGTTCTCCTGAAGGCCTTTGACATCCCCCCGCGCTCACTGGTTCCTCCCTTGAGATCCCATCAGTCAAGGGCAGCGAGGCACACAGAAGCCCCACTATGTGCTCCAGTAGCGGGAATGGAATGTCAGAGTTTGTGATGCCCGGGTTGGGACACAGATGGAGCAGAAAGGGAACACTTCCCATCAGCCTGGGTGGGGCTCTGAACAGGGACCCAGCGATGAGGGGGCAGGAAGGTGATTTTCATGAACTTTCAGGCGGCAGCGCTGCTGCTGTGCTGAGGTCCCGCCAAATGGGGCGTCCGTTTCTGATGGGGCTTGTGCGCCTCGCTGTCCCTCAGACACTCAGACCCTCGAGCCAACACAGGTGCGTCCCACGTCCCCAAGAAGCCCTCAGAGCCAAGGCCTTTACCACTCAGCTTTGCCCCTGGGTTCCACCCTCCACTGGACTTGGGTCTAAATTCCTCTCTCTTTTGCCAGCACTTGTTCTAAACAAATCTTAAAATTATCCTTTTCCAGAATGTTCAACAGTTTTAGCTGGAGGGCGGTCCCCCCCCCTCCCCGAGTCACCAGGACCAGCTCTGAGTGTGCTGGCCCCTGGGTGACTCCCTCTCCACTTACACATCCTCTGTAACGGGGTCACTTTCAGATTCACATCTGGACAAGCCACTCAACCTCCCAGGGCCTCAGTACATTTACCTGTAGGGTTGGGGGGTGTGTAAAGGGATGTGGAGGGTGGGGGAGGAGAGACAGGGAAGATTTCTCAGCCACCACACCCCCCACATCCTATGGAGGCCAAGTTCCCCTTCCAGCCTGGCCCCAGTCTCTCCCCCAGGACTTCCTGTTGGGGTGTCCTAGGCCCCACCCCAGAGCTGGGCACTTCCCTCCCTGACACAGGGACCTGGATCCGCTCTGCCTGCCAGAGGCAGACATGGTGCCCCTGCTGCTGCTGCCCCTGCTGTGGGGGGGTAAGTGGGCTGTGGGAGGGGGGCTGGGGAGGTGGGGGAGGGGCGGGGGCTGCATCTGAGCCTCAGTCCCCC